CTCTTCTGGGGGTGCTGCTGGTGGTAGGGGGGGAGAGACTTGCTCCAAACGCGAACGTCCCCCAGCTCTCCCCCCCTCCCTGTTTTCCGTTAGGAGCCCGGCGAGGAAATACATGCACTCGCCGAGAATCGCCCGCGCTAGGGCGCAACGCTACAAGGTGTAGGGAGAGTGTGGGGTGGGGTGAGAGGGGACCCAGGAGTCCCCGTGGCTCAGAGCGCCGGGGCGTCGGTTCTTCATTCCTGCCCTCGGGGCGGACGGAGTGACCCGGCCCCCACTCCCCGCCCCGACCATGGTAGTGTTCAATGGCCTTCTTAAGATCAAAATCTGCGAGGCAGTGAGCTTGAAGCCCACAGCCTGGTCGCTGCGCCATGCGGTGGGACCCCGGCCGCAGACTTTCCTTCTCGACCCCTACATCGCCCTCAACGTGGACGACTCGCGCATCGGCCAAACGGCCACCAAGCAGAAGACCAATAGCCCGGCCTGGCACGACGAGTTCGTCACCGATGTGTGCAATGGGCGCAAGATCGAGCTGGCCGTCTTCCACGATGCCCCCATCGGCTACGACGACTTCGTGGCCAACTGCACCATCCAGTTTGAGGAGCTGCTGCAGAACGGGAGCCGGCACTTCGAGGACTGGGTGAGTCGGGCGCCTCCGGGTCCAGGAGCCCAGCTGTGGGGTCCCGGGGAAGCACTCGCGGCCTTGGCGTTGGTCATGGGGCGCCGAGAATTATTGCCATCTGGGGTGTGTGTGTATGTGTCTCAGTTGCCTTGGGGAAGCATACTTCATTTCGTAGGTGGGGAGAAGTAGGTGCTGGGGCAAGGAAGAGAAAACTTGGCAAGAGGGTCAGGCCCTCTGTCCCCTCCAGACAACGGGTGCTACAGGGCGCTCGCAAGCTGGGGGAGCCCCCAGCCGCTGGTGCTGAAGGTTGGCAGAGAACCCGGCGCCTTCCGCAGGCGCGTGGTGGGCTGGCTGTGTGTGATTGTGTGTGGGTGGGTTCCTCCGTCCCTGGAGAGGCACGTGGAGCCTTAGACTGAAGGCTTCTCGCACGTCCTGGCTTTGTCCTGTGTAGCCCAGTGAGGAGCTGCTTTATTTTTCCCTCCGGGAGGAAGCTAGCTTGTTTCTGTTCTGTTGCATGGTGGTTAGCTCATCTTCTGACATACAGGGAGAAAAATGTATTCTCCTCTAGGATGTCTCCTCCAGGGTCCCAGCAACGTAAGACCAGCTTGTTTTGCCCGGTGCATCGCCCATTCATCCAGAATGAGTGTTGTAGTTTTAAAATGATTCTGCTTGTGAGAAATTGGAAGTCAGTGCTTTGAATCCCACTTAAAGTTATATTATTTCCCTGTTTTGATTTTTCAAGGTAACTGTGCAGTGTGATACTGTTTCTAAGTCTGACATTGAGTTGATTGATTACATTGTCAGAATATTAGGGACTTGGAAATAGGCCTCCCCTGTCCAGGTACTATAAGCCAAATGCATTCAACCGTGGCCCCCACAGAAGCAGGGAAACAAACCTTGCCTTTGCCCTTTTTGGAAGGAAGGTATTAAATTAGGAAATGGATTTTGGTGTTTTCCGATATGCTACATGTTTCCACCGAGAGCAGGTGTGGCTCTGGGTGCATATGTTTTCAGGGTTCTTTGGTCTATACCAAAAGAAATATCTGGATCCTCATGGAGAAATATAGAGGAATGCCCTTCTAATTATCAAAAGCAGACCACTTGGTGATTTTCCTAGGGTCAGAGGTTACATACAGACCACCTTGGCGTATCACCTTACATATTTTTAAAAAGGAGATGGAGTTTTTAGAGGAAAATAGGAAAAAAGCCTCTTCTCTTTATGCTCAAGCTGTGATGTAGTCTGCCCGAAACCATGGTTACGGGGCTTACAGGGAAGCTCCAACAAACCATACCAAGTACCACCCTGGGAGATTTGCGGCTTACACTTTGGGAAGCAGGCAGACCTTTGTGGAGTCCCAAAGAACACATTGCCATCCCATTCTGTGCGGTTTCAGCAATGCCCCTTCCTTCTGCCTGCCTCCCACCATCAGACTTCCCACCCACTCCCCATTTCCTTTCCACACGTGGGCTCTTTGACTCAGGAAAGTAGTGCATGTCTGAGGGGGAGCTGCAGGGATAGCTAATTTCAGGACCAGACCTTCACACTAAGAACTTGTGGTTTTGAATTTGTTGTCTTAGAACAGGAAGAGGATGGGAAAAACATGAGTATGGCAGTGAAGCCATCCATAGGGTCTTTGCTGTCTATGCCGATGAGGGAGGTAGAGAGTGAGGCAGAGAGCAGGTGGGATGAACAGTGGGGCTGCTTTAGCCACAGGACACATCTCGTTGGAGGGAGAGGTGCCCGAGTGTCTCTGGTGATGCTTTGCCGGAGCCTGCCCCAGCCCTAGGTTCATCAGGGCACCGTCCCCACGTTGGAGCATTTGCCGTGAAGCATCCAGTGAGCACTAGCCTTGTCTGGTTATTATTCTGTAAGGTTCGCAAATTCATGTTGGACTTGGCCCTGGACCAGATCAGCTAGTGCAGATGCAGGTTTTAGAGACAAGGACATTGAGTCTCAGAGAAGCCCAGTGGGTACCCAAGGTCACATGACAAGCACAGGGCCCACTACATCTATTGCCCATGGCTTGTCTGGGGAGAACTGAGCCCCCTGGTCCTTGCAGTGTATTCTCCCTGCAGATTCTTGTGCCGTGTCCCTGACGTTTTCATGGTACACAATAATTTAAAGTGCTTTCAAAATCGTATCTCTTTTGTCTCGTAGCAAATATGAATTAGGTGCAACAGGTATTGGACAGATAAAAAAAAGCAAACAAAAAACCACCAAAACTTGAGTTACAAAAAGGTCAGAAGGAGGCATGAATTGGGCATGAGGTGGTGGGTAGCATTTAAAGAGGTATTCACAATAGGAGACATCATTCCATGGGCACAGACACTGCTGGAATAAAGGTTGAGAACACCTGTGGTCAAGGTTGGGGAACAGACAGGCATGGCCCAAACTGAGGGTGCCTGTCAGCAAGGGTCAGACAGGATAAAATCTCCCCCATTTAAGACTTTTCTCTTCATACCACCTGTGCTATTATTTATTTAAAACCTTTAAACACTGATTCCCTTATTTCTCACTTTAGCCCCAGTGTCACAGGTTGGAATATTGTGGTTGCAATTTTTCTTCGTTCACATGAACATAAACACATGGCTTCTAAAATAAAAAGGAAGGAAGTTCGTGTCAGGTACCTCTTCACATCGTTAGCTATACGGGGAGCCACAATTTGGATACACTGGAGTAGGAGAAAGTTTAGAAAACTGAGGTGGATTCTAGAATGTTTGAAAGCCAGGCTGAGATAATTATTCTCCAGATAATGAGAGATGCATCAGTTGTGATGACAAAGGGAGTTGTTTTAGAGAAAGCTCATTACAGAGAGATGGGAAGATCTCACTTGTACTGAAAGCAGAAACCCATTAAACACTGTTGCTGTCGCTTGTTTTCCAGGAATGAGATATTAATGCTTCTGTGACTTGAGTGTGCATTAGAATCACTAGGGGAGGGTGTTAAAAATATAGGTCTGCCTATATCTGTACCTTCAGAGCTTTTCATTCGGTAGTTTAGGACAAGTGCTGGGAATCCTCATTTGTAACAAGTGGTCCAAGAGAATTTGACCAAAGCATGCTTTGAGAAACATTGGGGGAGAATAAAACAGCAGGGGAGGGAGGGTTCCAGATAATTCTTGTATCGAGACTTTGTACACAGAAATGTCCTGAAATTTTATAGTAGACCTTTGTGATTCCTCAAGCAAGATTTATAAGCATAGTTGTGGAAACAAGAAGGATGGGGATTCCTTAGAAGCAGGGGCCCGGCGAATGCTGGATGGAGCTGCTTTGCATTGAGGACAGATGGTGGGAGCATGGTGGATGGCAGAGGGTGGAAGGAGACTGCTCCTGTTCGCAGTCTGGAGTTTGCTCTGCGGTCACCTCACTTAGTGTGTACTCTGAGCTCGGCCCTTCCCTGTTCCACCACCCCTGCCTCTGAAGACATCTTTGGTTTGTGTCACTCCCTGGCTTCCTCCCCGGTGTAGAAGAGGCACTCCTAATGCAGTGATAATGACAGTCATTTTCTGAGAGGTGGTCCAGCCCAGTGCTTAAGGGCAGAGCTCTGGAGGGAGGCCGCTTGGGTGCGAATCCTGCCTCTACCACCAATACCTTTAGTGAGATGTTTAACCTGTGTTCCTGTTTCTTCCTCTGTAAAAAGTGGATGACAGTAAAAGTCTCTACTTCTAACAAAATGCATTTGTTGAAGGGATGAAAGGAGTTAATACATGGAAAGTGATAGACCGAGGCCTGCCCTCAGCAAGAGCTCATGAACGTTTAGCGACTACAGTTAGTATTATGTCCCCTAAGCCTACCATGGGATTGGTCCCAGAAAGGGTTCTTTATAGAGTTGATTATTATACAGGACCTAAATAAGCCGGTTTTTCATCTCCAAAATGTTTCTTTTCAGTTGGATAGCCTCGTCTGGCAAGGAATGGGACACTAGTGTTTGTTTCATATTTCCCAAATAGCTCATTAACAAGGTTTCTCAAAATTATTCCACCCTGCTGACCCTGTGAGATAGGCCGACACTCTTTCTGAAGGGGTCAGGCTCAGGAACTGTTACTTTGTGTTGACCCCAGAATCCCATGGGGAGACTGTTACAACAGCAGAGGCCCAGGCCAACCCCCTGTTAGTTCAGATGCTAATGCTCTGGGCAGAGCCTGAGGACTGGCTTGGTGGTTAAACTGGCCCTGTTCTGTCTCACAGAGAGGGTGGCTTGAGTACCCCTCGATATACACTGCCTGAAGGCATCTCTCTACCTTCAGGACTTTTGTGGGAAAATCTTAGAAGATCCCTGAAAGCTATTATTATCATTTAGATAGAGTGAGGTGGGAAGGTTCTAGAAGGGGTGTGGAAGGACTGGGCGTGGTCAAAGCCCCTTTCCACCTATGCCACGTACACCTTGAATTTGTCCACCAACAGCTTAGGTTCCAGGATTTCTCCATACTCGATTCCCTACTGACTCCTATAATACTTAACATCTCATTAAATACTGCTCCCTATGGTACATAATTGGTTATTTAACCACTGCCCTAAGGGTTAGTTCTTGCCCCAGTGCTATCGCAAAAAGCCACTTGGCATGGGGGCCCTGCAGTTAAAGGGTCTTCTGGGCAGTCAGACCTTGTCTGTCAGCCCTATTTCTCCTCTGTATTGTCTTTGACCAGCAGCTGAGTTAGTGAATATTTGAGACCCTCAGTTCCCTAACTCTTCAGTGAGCCCCTCTCCCTTGGATCTGTGGATTCTACCTACGGGATACATCTACCATTCTTTTTTTTTTTTAATGTTTATTTATTTATTTTTGATAGAGGGGGAGAGAGAGAGAGCGCGCGCATGCCTGGGGCAAGGGGGGGGGGTGGTGGTAGCCAAGAGAGAGAGAAAGGGAGACACGGAATCTGAAGCAGGCTCCAGGCTCTGAGTTGTCAGCACGGAGCCTGATGAGGGGCTCGAACCCACGAACCATGAGATCATGACCTGACCTGACACTTAACCAACTGAGCCACCCAGGTGCCCCAGGTTGCATCTGTCATTCTTGAGGC